AAATTTGTATCAGGATTCTCTAAATGGTGATCTGTTGTTGAAAAAAACTCTTCTCACTGATCTCACTGCTTTCACTCTTGCCTTCTATAGATAATTGTCCACCCAGTAGATCTTTCAAAACACAAATCATATCTCTTCTCTGCTCATAACCCTCCGATGGCTTCCCACCACATTCAGAATAAAATCCCAACTCCTAAACATGGACTGCTAGGCTGTGTGTGACCTGACCTCTGCCTATCCCTCTGGCCCCATCTCCTACCACTGCCCAGGCCTTTGCCCCCCTCACGCCTGCCATGCTGGCTTCTTGCTGCTGCTCAAACACACCGAGCTCCCTACCACCTCACAGTCTGCACCAGCTACATCCTGTGCCCAAGATCGTCATATAGCTTACCCTCTCACTTTACTCAGCTCTCCACTCGATCCTTCACTCCTGAGACAGGACTTGCCTGGCCATTCTTTCTAAAATGAGGTCCTCCTGCCCTCTTGTCATTCTCTGTCTTCTTATCCTGCCTTAATTTTCTCCATATCACTTACCACTGTCTGGCATTTTATAACTATATGTTCATAAATTCTTAGCACTACATCTAACACAGTAACCTCCAGACAAACGACACCTACTATTATTTAACTGGGATGCTAGCATGTCTAGCAGGATAATGCAAAAGATTCACTCACTCAGAGATGACCCTAGTACAGGCCACTCTCTGAATAGTTCTTTGCTGCTAAACAGAAGAATTCCGACTCTCCCTTGTGGAGATGGTATCTGTGAGAGGAAGCTGCACGTTCCCTTAACCCACATCTTTTACCACTGTGGGGAAGTGTGGGCTCCCTGCTGCTCAGGGAAAGTAGAAGATCATTTTCTTGAGAGTTCTTTTTGGTATTAACCTCTTTCTGGTATCTAGGTTCCTTATATTTGGGGAAATAAAACAGTTTCTTCTAGCTTTTTAAGCTTACCTTAGTCTTTACATTTTTTTTCTACTTTGTTCAAGTTCAATATACACCCATGTTCATTTGCTCATTCAAAAAGTATCTCTTAAGTGAGTGCTGAGTATGGTACGAGAAGCTCTATAAATAGTGGTCAAGAAAAGATATAATCGCTGCCCTTGTTTTAGTATGTGGTTTACAGAGTGTAGAAATTTGAAGAACTTCCCCATAATCATAAGAATTGAGGTTAGAGGAAAAACAGTAAAAGTTATATTTTTTTAATCCTCTATTCCCTATAACTTCATTTAACTGAATCTAGTTGACTAGGGCCCAGTGCACAGCATTGTACACTGAGATGGAACATGAAGCCCAATGGGGCAGGAGTCGACATACCTGGCTTCAGGTTCTCGATCTTCCATTAATAACTTTCAGTCCTTGATCAACTTACTTTACCTCCTCATGCCTTAGTCCTCTGTGAAATTATGAGATTCCTAAGAAATCTTTAAGGCCCCTTCTGGTTAAAAGAATTCTATATTGCACAATTCTAAATTCTTTCTCTAGGGAAAAATAACTCATTATACTGGTTTTCACAGATTTTAAGGTTCATCATTAGCAATTCTGAACATAAGTCAATGTCATACTATTTCATAATTAAGAATTGTCAAACAGAATGTCTTCTCTGAAAGAGTGTCATCTGAAATCGGGGAATGTAACTTGTAAAAAGCAAAATGAGTGCCCTGGCACAGTCATAAACATGTCATGTATATAAAGCATGGGTTTCTTATGTAAATGCCCATCACCTGGAAAGGAATTCTTTTCTGAAATAAAAATAGTCCAGGCTCAATCTCTTCAAAATCTCCATTAATTTGGCAAACTCTTTATCAAGAGATTCTTTGTGGTTTTCCAAGCTGTCCAGCGTTAATATGCAAAGGTTTAGCTTCTCTTCCACAGTATGTTTGAATTCCTACAAGAAAAGCCACATAACAAACCCCAGTAGCCCGATGTTAAATATGACAAATGACAGAGGCAATTTAAAATGCTGTGGACATTCCCATCTCAACGGCATTCACTGCTATTGGACACCAAAGTTATAATTGGATTGATACCAATTCTCGATTGCCCAGAGACTGATTATCCCGTTGGTTATCCCCATTTAACAAGTATGAATAAAGTATCTATCATGTGCCTAAAACTGAGTTTTGTTTTTCTTAAGTGGGTTCCTGATCATTTCAGCAGTCATTACAATTGCTTTACAACAGGATGGGACAAGATAATGCAATAAAATCAGTATCTGTTGATTTTCATATTCAAAAGCAACTTTAAAGAAAAAAGAGGTTAGATTGGCAAAGGGGTCGAAATAATATTCCAGAGTTTACTTCTTTCTTTAGCTTAACTTAAGGGGCTGCTAGGACAGTCTGGCAGTCACAAAGTGGAGATAATAGGGGATAGGTGAGATTTCTTCTCATACGCTTTCTTTCTAACAAAGCTGGGAATAGCTACAATGTTCTGTAATTTGCTGGGATAATAAAATTGTCAGGGTCTCAGGAATAAGATTCTTTTACACAAGAATCATGCTGTCAAAGTTAGGAAATTTTAATAGGCCAAGGAAAAATTTAAGCTTAGACTAGCCAGTTCTCACAAGGATACAAATAAAACACTTTTTCATTAAATCGTCTTATTTATTATCTCTCCATCACATCTCACATATCTTACACTGTCACGTTCCTGGCTTGTCCCTACACGCACACGTTTATGCTAACCCTCACACTCGCATACACATCCAGACACACGCTCAATACTCATCATCAGACTAAGACAGCAGAAGATTACAATAAAGTCGTAGAAATGGTACCGGACACGTTAAATATTACCTGACTTAACAAAGTAGAAGAAAAACCAGGAAAATCACAAAATGTAGAATACTCACGGTAAGCTGTCTCTCCCACTTTTCTTTCATAGTAATTTCTGGGTTAATTACCCACCGTAGGAATCTCTCATTGAGGGTTTCAACTTCAGAAACTTCTTCATGCTGAAAAGAGAGTTCCACATCTTCAACTAGGAATTCAGGTGAAAGGCATAGGCTATTATATAATCAGAATTAATTTAGACCAAAGTTCCACCCTATGAGTAATTTCAGGAAGATACCAGAGTGAGCTCCTTCTCATCCAATGCCTCCCAGTCACTTTCCTTTATCCCGGATGTTGCCTTGTGTACATGCTAAGTCTCGTCAGGTGCTCCACACAAACTGAGTATATGCAGATAGAATCATTTTCCAGAACAAAACCTATCCTTTTTATTCCCCTTTTAAAGAGAAAAAACCAAGCATTTTCATCATTCATCAAACTAAAGGCTACCTACAACATGCTAGGCACTGTGAAAAGGACAGGAAATACCAATATGAAGATGTTGTTCTCTGATTTCCCTTACTCATCTGGAGTTTCCAGTGAGAAATCAAAATGGAGAACGAAATACTGGCTGTTAGCTAGAAGAAAATTAAGAGAAGGAAACTGTTCAACAGATACCATGTCTTCAAGCCCCTGGATACTAAAGATTAGCCTACAGGAAAAATAAGCAATCCACATCTTATGGTCAATCTGTTAGTCTGATCGACCCAGAACTAGAAGACCAACTTTAGGGAGGTTTGAAAAAAGTCCTCTCTTTTCAGAGTAGGAGTAATTTGGGTCTCAAAAGCACACAGATACATTTGGACTAAGCAAACCGGCTATAAAGTCAGTTATCTGCAGATATTTCTAACCAAAGTGAAACAGCACAAGCCACGTATATTACGCATACCAGCTTCTGAAGCATAGCTGTGAATTCCACTCCCCTTTGTTCAGATTCTCCTGGTAACAGCAGCATTTCTTGGTCCATCATCATGTCCAGAGATGACAAGCTGATTAAACTGCACTGCCATTCAGTCTCTTTGTCCTGAAACAATTACCAAAATGCCCACAACTCCGTCATCCTAACAGAAAACATTATTTTTACTTTACAAAAATGATGCTCATGAGTCAATGTAATTGTCACCATCAAATAGTTCTAAGTAGTCTTGTGGGAACATCCTACATCCTAAAAACAAACAAACAAACAAAAAACTGTTGACATTTTCTCTCCAGAACAGCTTCAATTGAACAGCTCAGTTAACTAAACTTAAGTTTTCTGTCTTAAGGAAAACTCATCTATCAATAGATAACATTTACATGTGCGTGACATAAACCGTTTTGGCTCTAATTTTAACATAAAAATAGGGGAAGGCAATGGAATACTATTCAGCCATTAAAAAGAATGAAATCATATCTTTTGCAGCAACATGTATGGAACTGGAGGCCATTATCTTTAGTGAGACGAGTCAGACACAGAAAGTCAAATGCCACATGTTCTCACTTATAAGTAGGAGCTAAATAACGTGGACATGTGGACATAGAGTGTGGAATGATACCCAATGGAGACTAGGAAGGATGAGGGAGTGGGAGGGGGTGAGGGAAGAGAAATTACTTAATGGGTACAATGTACATCATTAAGGGGATGGATATACTGCAAGAACAGACTTCGCCACTACTTAATCTATGCATGTAACAAAATTACACTTTTACTCCATAAATTTATACTAATTAAAAAATAAATAAATATTAAAAAGTAAAAATAGAGGAAAGTAAAGAAATTCAGAGGGGGAAAAAAGCTGTAGGGGGAGGGGGCTGATCAAATCCATCTCATTGAAAACAGGTTGGTTTCTTTTGTCTCCCTCCCGTTCATAAACGATACTCTCAGGTGATGTTTCACACAATATGTTCCCTGCGCTTCCCGCAAAGTCTCTGTCTCCTGCTGTACTTGAGATGTAACCACCTTGTTGCCGTCCATTGAAAACAGTCAGAGGACTCTGTTTCCAGGCACTAGTTAGAAGGCAAACCCCTTAACTCACCAATTCACCGGTGGGTAAACCTCAGGGCCTGAACTTTGCCAGCTGATAACACCACCCCATCCCCCATTTAGAAAGACAGAACTTTCTGGACTGGCATCTTGATATCATTATCATCTCAGAGGACTGAGGGTAAAAACACAGTGCCATGGCAGACTTGCCACGGCTTCACTCAGTCTGGCAGTTTGGCTTGGTTTCAAAAACACAGTGAAATGATGAGGATCTGAAGCCGAACGTCAGCAAAGCAGCACAGCCCTCAGCAGGATGTCCAGGGACGCCTGAGGTGGCCGCGGATGAAGGCAGCGTATGTTGTCCTTGCATCCTTGGCAGGAGCAATTCCACATTTGCCCCAGAGGCATTCTTCCTTTCCTTTCAAGGTCACATCGCAGCTGTCAACGGGAGAACATTCTGACAAATCCATCATCCACAGACGTGGAGAGACCATCAAGTGGTGAAAAGAAAGCAATTCGCTACATAAAATGTTTCCTAACATAACAAGCACAAAACTGGAAAACACAAAAGGAGTGAAAATATAGCATGGGGAGGGAGGGTTTACAACATTTTTATCTCCAGGATTTTTTCTAAGTATTTCCTCCCATGTTAGAAAGAATTGGGTCTACCAAACTGAGATTTTTTTAAAAGCTAGTAATTCATTTTGCCACTTTAAAATTAACCAAAACACATATAAAAAATGTTAGTTTCTGTTCAGCATGTCATAATTAATGTCCTTAAATATCCGAAAACAAAGAAACTTGGTGGTGTTTCTCACATCTTTATTTTTGGTAAATATATTTACTTTGGGAGTTTGGAAAATACTAAAAAATAGCTCACAGATCTCCACTGCTACCCCTAGGAACCCAGGCTGGGGAGCAGCCTGGGTAGTCTATTCTGGAAAAAAAAAATCAGGAATATAAAGGTTTCTAAAGCCCCAATTCACTGAAAGTACACTTCCACAAACCCACACTTTAACCCTGATGTAGCTTTCAGCTATAACATGGAAACAGTCCCTTCCTTCAGACCAAGAGACTTTAGACCTGGATTCTAAAAAACTATCAGAAGATTCCCTCAAAATGTCTGGTGGTTTTTGGCAAGCTATGGACTTCTCCTTAAGTAAGGTCCACACTTCAGTAAGCTGTCATATGGGGTGGTTATTTTTCAGAGTTTTCCATCATATTCTAATTACCTACCTCTGCAGACTGAGCAAGAATGAGTTCATAATGTAAGGATTTTTCTCCAGAGATGATACTGTTACGCTCTCCACTAACATTCAACTGGATCCCATTTCTTGAAAAAATAAACACAGTAGTCCAATCTAGTTAGGGCGCCTCCCACATTATGCTTGAAGTCACCAGAATAGGGTTCACTTATCACCAGTCAGTAAGCACCCATGTGTGCCATGGATTGTGTAAGGAGCTTAGGAATACAGAGAGAAGTAAGAGACAGTCTCTGTTCTCCAGGAGCTGCACGCACTAGTGACTCTTGGAGGTCACAGACAAGTAGCCACACTTTAACAACAACAAAAAAAAGAACTGGGGACAATAGTTAAAAATTAGAAAATTTCACTAAAAAAATCTGGATTTCTGGCTTTTCTTCCAAAATAAGATGTAGCCAAACTGGGTCCATATAGTCTTGATGTAATAATGAGCTGGGAGCTAAGCAGAGTAGCCCCCTTTACATGGGGAGTACACTTCTCTTGTTTGCCATTCACAGAATGTAGGTGTATCATTCTCCACTGGCTTTACTCATTTTCGTTATCTGACTGGCTCCTGAGGCCCCTGGACTAGCACATCACACACAATCGGAAATAAATGATTGTAATACAGGATGGTGTGTGTTAGGAAAGAGGTGAGAACAATGTGCCATGCTTGTATTCAGAAGGGTTACCTTAATCTCAAGGTAAGGGAAGAGCAAGGGAAAGTCAACGCAATGGACTGAATGTTTACATCCCTCCCAAATTCATAAATTGAAACCCTAACCCCAATGTGATGATATTTGGAGGTGGAGCTCTTGGAAGGTAATTAGGTTACGAGGGTGGAGCCATAACAAATGGAATTAGTGTCTTTACAAGAAGAGGCCAAAGGTTAGCTAGCTCTCTTTCTACCATACAGATACAAGGAGAAGTCAGCAGTCTGTAACCTGCAAGAGGGCTCTCACCAACCCTGCTGCCATCCTGATCTTGGACATCCAGCCTCCAGAACGGTGAGAAATAAATGTCTGTTGTTGAAGCCACCCAGTTTATGGTATTTTGTAATAGCAGCCCAAGCTGACTAAGACAATTGGGGAGGGTCATAGAAAACTTGTAAGAGAGTTCTCATGGAGGCCGGGCGCGGTGGCTCATGCCTGTAATCCTAGCTCTCTGGGAGGCTGAGGCGGGCGGATTGTTTGAGCTCAGAAGTTCGAAACCAGCCTGAGCAAGAGCGAGACCCCATCTCTACTAAAAAAAATACAAAGAAATTAATTGGCCAACTAAAAATATATAGAAAAAACTAGCCAGGCATGGTGGCGCATGCCTGTAGTCCCAGCTACTCGGGAGGCTGAGGCAGAAGGATTGCTTGAGCCCAGGAGTTTGAGGTTCCTGTGAGCTAGGCTGACGCCACGGCACTCACTCTAGCCCGGGCAAAAGAGTGAGACTCTGTCTCAAAAAAAAAAAAAAAAGAGTTCTCGTGGAGAAAAGAAGAGAAAATATCACATACAATGGTACAGAAGAAAGGAACGTGGCCTTTACAAGGAACTACATATAGTTCTGTTAACCAATAACGGAGAGTGCAAGAGAGAAGGCTGGCGGGGTTGCTCTGTACTTACATGATGAGTTCCTGTTGCAAGTGCTGTAATTCCTGAACCAGTTTATTTTTATCCCCTCGTAAATTCTGGAATCACACACAACATTAGGCTGTACAGGTTACTCTAGTGGGGAATTTTACATTTACATTTAACAAGCCCACCTGGCAAGCTGTGAGATTAATAATAATAATTAATAATAGGTATACCTCTATAACGCTTCTGCATTCTATGATGGTTGACTTAAGTTCTTCTATACTTAAATCCTTCTGAAAAGTAGAGAGAAATAATAACAAAAAAGCAATGGGTCCACCATATCATATTAGACCATCAAAGTGAACCAGAGAAGAATTATAAATGCCCAATCATCATGAGATCTTCTACCAATTTCACTATTTGAAAACTGAACTAGTCAGTGTTTGAGAGTCAAAACACACAAGAAAAATAGGACAACAAGGCATCTATATCTAATTGGTGTCATTAGGTTCTGTTTGTTTAGCCCAATAGAATCAAACTCTAAAAAGTGATTCTTAAGCCCAAATTAAAATAAGTATTATCACAATGCATTTAAGAAAAAAATCAGTGTCTACTTGCAAATGACCAATGAAATAAGGACACTCAACCTTATCCAGTTCCGAATACCTCCTTAAAATTATTGTTTTGTACTATAAAACCAGAAGGTACAGGTAGTGAGTTCCTGATCTACAATTTTTTTTTAAAGCTAAGATTCTTTATTATTATTTTTATTTTTTAAAGAGGTAGGGTCTTGCTATGTTGCCCAGCCTGGTCTCAAACTGCTGGTCTCAAGTGATTCTCCTGCCTCAGGCCTCCCAAAGGCCTCACAAAATGTTAAGATTATAGGTGTGAGCCATTGCACCCAGCTCTATGATTTTATCCTGTGACTAGCACAGTGTCTGCCTCATGGAGGTGCTCAGTCAATACTTAATGGATGCTGGGCAGGAGTGCAGAATGGTGGGCAGACCAGAGTTATGAAGGAACTAAGTAGCCACCCCCTCACAATATTATTACCAAAGAGAACACCCACAATGAAGACATAAAGTTAGTATAGGAAACCATGCACACTTTTAGAAATAAATAAAGTTAGTATGATAATTCAGTATCCTGGTCAGAGTCTACGAGCTATGAATGGCTCCTTTGAAACTTCATAATATTCAGGGAAGGGAAGCCACTGTATTCAGCATCTCTGTAGCCAGCATCTTTTGTTACCAGATAGGCTATGATCATAGGATATAAAAATAGAATATCTATGTATCTATAAATTAATCAAATTAGGTAGCAAATAATTTGGGTATATATTCTTCTTCTTTCCTAGGATGAATGGCTACAGACTCATTTGTGTTGTTGTAAATTAAAACTACATCACCAGTATATAGCCGGTGACTAGGAGATTGGCACACTAATATTTGTTGTGTACATGGATGGACACCGCCAGAATTTAGAGAGAATATGTCAGACTTATTCTTCACTCAGAAGAACATTTTGGTGAAGTACTATAAAGGAAAGTCTAATGACATAATATTAGAATCAGATCTTTTAGTAGGGATGAAATTACACAAATGACGGTCTCCTTTATGATTCGGAGAGAACTAGCCAATTCTGCAGGCTTTCATGGGAAGTAACAGCACCGACCTTCTGCAAACTTGCATCTTTATTAAGTAAAATATTCTCGTATGTGTATAACTGCATCTGAAAAGAAACACATTTAGGGAAGCCCACTGGGAAATTGCATTGGTAAAAAGACAGTGCCACAAACTCATTTCAGGAAAAGAGACATGTTTCTGGAGCACCATTAACATGCATGTTTTTCACTCTACAAAGAACTTTCCCATCCAGCCTCACAACAACCCTACAGGCAGAGGTCATTGCCCTGACTTTACCAGTGAGGAAACCAAAGCTCAGCATTATTCAGGGACTGGCCCTGGGTCACACACAGTTAGTGTCAGAGCTGAGTCTACAGCATGAGTGGACAGCTGCAGCCAAGTGCCCTCCCCACTACTCCACACTTCATATAATAAGAGAACATACAGAGTCTTCACTTCTTTGGTGAAAATGAAAATCTAGATAGGACATAAACAGATTTCCATGAGGACCCATAGAAGACTTCCTCTTTTAAAAACCTCGTTAAGAAATATTTGAGATTTCTTTCAGCAAAGTGAATATTAGGGATATATCGGCTTATTCAAATCAAAAGCAAGCTTGGTGGCCTATGCTTCTACGTATAATAGAATTGATAAATAGGCATATTGACTGACTTGAGAACCTGAAAAAACTCATCAGCTTGGTCAGAAGCAGAAACATCATCATACTCATATACATTGGGTATGATCACATCATCATCTGTGTTTCAGTAAGCTTCTGGAGTAGGTAGAAATATGATACCCATTTAGTAGATGAGAAAATTGAGACTTAAAATTTGCTCGAGGTTAGAAACCCTTAAGTAGAGAAGACAGGATTTAAACCCATGTCTTCCAGCTCTTTCCACTAGTTTATCACAGTTGTGTTTTCCAAACACAGCCATTCTTAGCACAGAACTAATTTTAATGTCTAAGTTACAACTGCTGCTTTATATACACACACACAAGAGATTTGGGTTTCTGCCATGAAACTGGTAAATTCCACCTATAGATATGAAATTTAATTACATCATTTCAGACATATACAACAAAAAAATATTGCTCAAATAAACCATTAAAGATGACAATAAGCATGACACAAATTCATGAATTTACTAGTAGTTGTCTTCTGTTTTCCAATAAGAACGTATGGCAGATAAAACTACGTACTAAACATAAGCTTTTTAGATACAATACAGACAGAAAACATTTTTGTAAGGCATTATTCCTTAATCAAGGATAGATTTTTTTTTCTCTTTCTCTCTCCCCTCATTTTCAGTATTAAGAAGGTACAATACATAAAATCTTTCCCGATTTAAGGATTTACAAAATCAGATACTGTTAAATTAGAAATTGCCACTATAATCAAAAAGATAAATAATAACAAGTGTCGGCAAGGATGTAGATAAATTCGAATCCTCATATACAGCTAGTGGAATGTAAAATGAAGCAGCCACTTTGGAAAACAGTCTGGCAGTTCCTCAAAAGGTGAAACAGAATTCTCATATCACCCAGTAATTCTACTCCTAGGTTTATACTCAAAAGAAATAAAAACTTATGTATATATAAAAATTTGTACATGAATGTTCATAGCAGTGTTTTTGTAACAACCAAAAAGTGGAAACAGCCCAAATGTCCACCGACTGATGAACCAACAAAATGCATATATCCATACAATGGAATATTATCCAGCAATAAAAAGAAACGAAGCACTGATATGTGCTATAATATAGATGAACCTCGAAAGCATCACGCTAAGTGAAAGAAACCAATCACAAACAGACAACATATTACATGGTTCCATGTATATCCCAGAACAAATATTAATAAATCTATATAGAGAGAAAACAGATTGCTTAGGGCTGGGGAGGGGATGGTAAGAGGTGTTCCCGTTAAAGGGGTTTCTTCTGGGGTGATGAAAATGTTTTCAACTTGATTCTGGTGATGGTTGCACACCTGTGAACGTATTAAAAAAAAAAACACTGACTTGTGTACTTTAAGAAGGTGAATTTTAAGGCGTGTGAATTATGTATCAGTAAAGCTGCTACCAAGAAAAAGAAACTGCCTTTTATATAATTCAGACATTTTGAGAAGTACAAATTTCAGAATTTGTAACCAAAGGTCATTTTGTCAGTGAGTCACATACATCATCATAGAATAAAATTGATTTGACAGAAAAAAAATATTTTACCAGCATTTGGGAAGTGCTTACTTGGTGCTCTGTCTCGGTCTTAGACAATTCCTCAATCGTCTTTTCCAATCTGTCTATATCCATGATGTTCTTAATGTTCTAATGTAAAAAAAGATAGTATTCTTAGATTTAGCACCAAGAAAAATGCAAGACTATCACAATCAAAATCTCTTTTAGGAAGTAGTATTTTCATTGTTAACATTGTAATTAATCCATTTTAAACTAAGGGACAAAACTTTAGACTTTGTGCAGAAATAACACATCCATGCGGGAATACTCTCAGTATTGCCTTCTAAGCCTCCATTCCACCTCAGCCACTTACTAGTGCAAGCTTGTTATTACCAGTAACTGTGACCCCTCCATTATCTTAATTGCAAGCACCCGACTCTTCCTCCACCACCTCTTGTCTTTCCAGATCACTTCCTCTAGCACCAATAGGCCTTCAATCCCCACTGGAACCTGCAATCCATTGATCCCACCACCTTTTCATTATCCTTCAACTTCCCATGAACTCAGGTCCCTCTGATTTCCATAGTCAGTCATTATAATCACTCCCTGCCACGTGCCTCAGTTCCCTTCCCTATCCGCTGCTGTTTAGTATTGACTTAAATTAGCTTGCCACCCACTCCGTGCCAGCACCCTTTCAGACATATGGTTAAAGAAAGAAGGGACAGTTCACATGTTAAATTCATGTCTTTTAACCTCAGTGTTTATGGGTCATCATACCATATAATCCTACTACATTCACACCGCCATTTTCCTAAATCAGGGGTTGGCGAACTATGCCCACCCCCAAAGGTCAAATCTAGCTGACCACTTGTTTTTGTAAATAAAGTTTTATTAGAACGCAGCTGTGCCCATTTGTTTACATATATGTCTATGCCTGCTTTCACACTACAAAAGCAAAGGTAAGTGGTTGCAGCAAAGGACTTTCACTAGCAAAGCCTGAACAATGTTTACTATCAGGTAGGTCCTTTACAAAAGTTTTCCGAGTCCTGGCCCAGAACATTCCTTCTCTTTCCTCAAATTTCCAATACATCCTCCAACATCCTCACCCTTAGCTGATGACATTGCTTTGTATTTCACTGAGACACTAGAATCAGTGAGAGAATTTCGGTGTTACCAGAATACATAATAAATATCTTTGGATATATCATAAAGTATTTCCTGATCCAAACACTTCTGTCCACCTCCACTGTGACTGGTCAGTCCAAGCCCCCATCAGCTTTTGACTGAATCCACTACAGTGGATTCTAAACCCAGCAGCCTGAGTTATCTTGTTAAAATAGAAATTGTATCATATTACTCCTATGCTCAAAAACCCTCAATGGCTCCTATCGCACACCGTGTTAAATAAATAAAGAAAATAAAATAAAAAGGCGGCCTCCTTACAATGCCTGTATGAGACCCTGCGTGTCTGGCTCTCTGCAGCTCTTGACTTTCATCTCTTGCTACTTGTTCACTCTGCTCTGGACACACTGGCTTTGCTGTCCCTCCAAAATAGCAGGTAGGCTGCAGCCTCACAACCTTGAGCTTGCCGTTTCTTCTGCCTGGAAGGCTCTTTCACAGATAAAACTCCTCTCCAGTTTATAATCAAAGAATTAGCTTCGTAGTGCTGCTTTTCCTAACCACCCTACTTTAAATTGCACTTCCCCCTCCTTGTCAATTCTGTTTTCTGTTTTTCTTCTCTCCATAGCACTTATCACCATCTAACTTACTAGTTCCATATGGGCTATTTTGTTTAGGCTCATGTACTCAGCAGGTGGAATAGCGCCTGCACATAGAGGTCTTCCAATGAATACGTGTTGAATGAATTAATGAAAGTGAATCACTACCCAAACCATTATGCTGTTTCTCTTCACAATGCATCAGATTTTTACTCCCTAAAGGGATTTTAGCAACACTCACATGCATTTTCTAATGTAAGTCAATCACTGCAATGCTATCTCATAATGAAAGGTTTTAAATCTTCCTTCTATCTCAATTCTAAACTGGTTTGGTGCAATTCTTTGATGTTTTTCACTCATTTAAATAGGAGAAAAATATCTTACATTAGGAGTTTTATAATAAAGCACTAGTTCCACAAAAACCTGGCATTGCAGCTGTAACACGTCTGAATCTAATGTAGGCTTCTTTCCAATCTTCAATTGTTCCTTTCCAATCCACTGTGAAATATTTTTAACTTGGCCCACATTTTGAATAACTCTCCAGACTGTTCAGCACAACTTAATACTTCTGATAGTCTTACATAAAACCAAAATTTAAAACCTGCATAATACTTGATGTTCAAAAGATATCTGTAGAGAATTTTCTCTCCAGTACAGTAACTTACTAACAGCTTTGTGACCTGTTCTTCCAATGCTTTAATTCTGTTGCTTAAAAAAATACATATTGCAAAGAATTATTCTTTTTTCAGAGATTATATTAATACTTCCTAACATTTATAAGGTACATATGGTTTACCAAATGGCTTTATATGAATCATCTTAATCTCTAAAATAACTGTATGGAATAAGTATTTTTAGCCCAGAAAAGATAAATGGTTTTTTCAAGGTCATGCTTTCAGTGTATTTAAGACATGAATTTTATACTCAAGACTTTTGCCACCTCATCCAATGAAATAATAATGGAAAATTATTAGATAGCATCCGTGTTTTTTTTTTTGATTTAGATATTTTCTAGACGGGATAACTTCATTTCATTTTAAATCTGAATTTCTTAAATGCCATTTCTTCCATGGATAATCGCAAAAGTAATAAGGTACCTCTGTCCAGACTGGAAAATTCTATCCACTGTTTCTCATTTGTAATTTGACAAATCAACTTGCTCTTTGGCCCACAGGACCCTGAATATTTGCATGATTTTTATTTAACCCACAGTCATAACCCATGATTGTATGATTTCCATGTTTGTCTACCCCGGTGTTTAATGATTTCAACATACCTCTTCCTGTAGAATCCGAATCTTAAGAATTAGAGCCCGGTTTTCTGTCTCCTGATTCATTGTGAGAAAAATAATGAAAAAGCATTTAAGAAGTGTATGAAAATACCACATTTACCTCCAAAGCTATTGATATTCTTTCCTTTTACCAACTTTAAATGTGACATTCATATTACAAATGAGCCTAATCTGAAATAGTTTCAATGTGGGGTTACACCTTGGCTTGAGGTTTCTTGGGGATCTGTGAGAAGTTACTCCTCTCCTGGATCCAACGTAACTATTGTAGTTAGGGAGGAAAAGATGAAAACTGAAAAAGGAATAATCTGGCTTCCTTCCCTGCTACTTTACCATTAATTATCCATTTACAACATGTAGTTGTAAGCTCAGGTTTTTAAATAGCACTTTGAAATCACAGAGCTCTAGTTTTCTATTTGAAGCTGTGGATATTCTCAGATTCAACATCACCGCAACATATGAACATCAAAAACTATTTTATAATTAACAGCCTTAAATTCACAACCGTCAGAAGAAAATATATTCCAGCACAGGATATTTGCCAAAATGTTAACAGTAAGGATTTTGTGGAATTTTTTTCTTTGTTAATATGCATTTTTATTTTTATAAACAGGTATTATCTTTTTAATATAAAAATCTAAAGGAAGGCCGGGAGCGGTGGCTCACACCTGTAATCCTAGCATTCTGGGAGGCCAAGGCGGGAGGATTGCTTGAGCTCAGGAGTTCGAGACCAGCCTGAGCAAGAGCGAGACCCCGTCTCTACTAAAAATAGAAAGAAATTAGCCGGACAACTAAAAATATATAGAAAAAATTAGCCAGGCATAGTGGCGCATGCCCGTAGTCCCAGCTACTTGGGAGGCTGAGGCAGAAGGATTGCTTGAGCCCAGGAGTTCGAGGTTGCTGTGAGCTAGGTTGATGCCATGGCATTCTAGCCTGGGCAACAGAGTGAGACTTTGTCTCAAAAAAAAAAAAAAAAAATCAAAGGGAAAACATCTCAGTCTAAGATTTCATTGATACTAGAAGAACACACACACCCCTATGTACTTAAAATCAGAATACCCAAGTTTGATTCTAGCTCTACCGTTTTTAAAAAATTGACAGATAACATTGTGTGATTCTATCACGTACAACACGATGTTTTGAAGTACATACACAGTGGAATGGCTCATTTAGCTCTACCATTAGACAACTGACTGATTAAAACATCTCTGGACTTTATCACTCTATTAAATATTTTTTCAAAGATACGAAGATGTAGCAACTTCTGTTCCTACCTCACAGAATTTCTATAATTACCAGTGAGATAAAATATTAAAAATTCTTTTGAAATTATAAAATACTATAAAATGTAAATGATTAGGATTGTATATTTAGGACTTTGCATTTTAATCAATAATAGTTCACATTATTGATGTTAAAAGGACATTGAATGTTTTACACCTGTTAGCTCCTATAGCCCACCCAGCCCTAGGGTAGGTAGTATCATCATCTCTATTTTACCTAGCAGGGCATGGAGGCTTAGAGTAGCTCCCTGGCAGGCCTAAAGTCACACAGCCCTTAGAGCCACGACCTGAATGCAGATAGTCTGACTCCCAAGTATGGGCTCTTAATCAGGTCTCTACATATCCTTAGTGGTCCCTACTGAGTCTTCCCTGTAATGCACCCATAGGGTTACAAAGGACCTGACGTGCCACGGGTCTGGTCCCCACATCTTATTATTGAGGTCAGAGCTAAGCTAAACAAAGCCATTTGGTTGTGGGAGGTCACAAGTGACTGAAACAGGCCTAAAACCAAGTCTCCCAGTGACCTACAGATTGACTCTGAGAACAGCTTTACAAATACACCTAGAAACAAATTAGTTTGGATGACTTTCAGGTGCCCCTCACCATAGTTATACTGTTAGAACTTACCAGAGTTTTGAAGATTACTAATGCTCTAGATAACAGTTTAATATTCTCAGTCAAAATGATCACCTCTTTCGTGTTTGAGTTAAAGCTTAGTTTAAATGACTTCTGGCTGAGAAGTTACAAGCCTGTGTTTATTCAGTGTAAGGAATGATTTATGGAGCTTCTCAGTAACCAGTAAGTACTCAGAAAATTGATTTTTTTAATACCTGAGAAAAATATGAAAGTTTGATAAATTTTTTTTTAATTCAAGTGGTTATTTGTATCAGATACATATGAATTCACCTCCCAGTAGGCATTGCAGAGATTTTCTAGATCGTCACAAACCATTGTGAACATGACTGAGCACTTTGTAAAGAATTTTAATCTTGATTGAAAAGGAAAACAGATTTTTCTTTATCTTATCTGCCTTTACTAGTCTAAGGTGTTACCAATTAATTTATCAGCCTATTGACTTCCAATTTTTGCCCCCAAATAAGCTCTTCTTATATTTCAGTTATGTAAACTTTATGCCAATTTCAAAGTACTTGGATGACTTACTAACTGTTTGTTCTGGGCTACAGTCACGGCCTTCTGCTCTTCTGAGGCATTCACACTCAGTTTCAGTTCCTCCAGCTCTTCTTTTAACAGATTTGTTCTCATAATAGCCTGGTGGGCACTGTAAGGGTGGGGGAGAAGGCCATGAGCAAAACCTCAAATATAACCGTCAAAGACACTGAGTAAAGCCAAGGACTATTTTTGGACCCCAGTTGAAAACCACTCAAGGCTAAACCAGATGCCCACAACAGTAAAAATATACCCATGATCTTTCACAGTCCTTGGAAAAGGAAGGAATTTGGAGGAAGTAGGGGTGGGGAAGGGAGAATAGAGGGAAAATCAACAAATATGTGCCTGAAGCTAAAGATTTGGAGGATCCCTTTGAAATCTATCATTGGCTGAATCACATGGTTCTTTCCTCCTACTAAGAAGATGTAATATTAGTTAATATTAGTTAACACCATTCTACAAATATTTATTGAGTGATACCATGTTCCAGGTGCTGTATCCTGCATGGAGGCTACTGGTAGACAAAAGAGACATGGTCTTTGCCTTTACAGAGCTTATGGACTACTGAGGGAGACGACAACCAAACTAATAATTCTCAGCAGTCTCTATATGATATATTCTATAAAGAAGTTTTTATAGCATTATTTATAATAACAAAGCATTGGAAACAACCTAAATATCCACATACAGGAAATCGATTAAATGAATTATGCTAATCCTTATCATGGAATTACCTATTTGTGTCTCCCACTAGATTATAAACTGTTCTCTGAGGGTCTCAAAGAAGATACAAATTTTTTCATTACTAAGAAATTATATTGATCATTAAATAAATATTTATTGAGCTGGAACTCTGTGTCAGACTGCCGGGAACGTTGCCAATGTTCCCTGCCAAAAAACCGGGTCCCTTTGGTAGAGTTGCAAGGGATAAGAAAATAATAGAGAAAAATGGAAAATAAAAGAAATAAAAGAATATACAGAGACAAAGATATAGTTTTATAAGTTTATGAAGATTATAGGCAAAGCGGGATCTCAGGGGGCCTAGACCTTCTCCGTGGGTCTCAAAAAGCCTCAAATGAGGTCTTACATGGTAACTTATAGGGAATAGTGATTAGTTGCCAGGGGTAACAGATTTACATAACAACAGGTAGTTCCTCTCAGGTTAACAGATTTTCAAAAGGCTTCTACAGATCTTTTAACTAATTCTATCTACGTGAACAAATGGTTACAACATCTTTCAAAGATTAACTTCTAAGTTCTAAAGTAAGTTTATTACTTAACAGAGGGGTTAAACAGAGATATGTTGGCTCCGTATTTATTAGGTTATTGTGAATGGAGACAGGTAGTCTAGAGTGTTTAAACAATAGCTTGTTTTTAGCCATTTGGGCAGCTATCTGTTCTGGGGGGCACTCCATTGTCAGCTCTCATCCTGTAGTTTTTAACAGATTCGCTTTGCTTTACAAACCAAATCCAAACCTTTAAGTCTGAGAAACGTGGCGCCTTGTGGGATACAGCCGCTACTATCTTTCAGAGACACCCTTCCGAGTGTAACAGCATTTGAAATGCAAACTAAACACGTTGACATATTCCTTCAGGGCAAAGCTCTGCAAAACTCCTAAGACAAATCCTGCCTGCAAACACATCTATATTAATTCATGGAGCAACATCAGGCATTATATTATATTAGGCATTGAAAAAGGCAAAAGTGACCCAATCACGAGAACTCAACGCACCTGGAGTTTACAGTCTAGTAAACAGATAATCATAATCACAATACAACACGCTAAGAACCAAAAGAAACAAAGGTTTCTGGCTTGTAGGCAACTGGAAGGAAGGTAGCATTATTCTACAGTATATATTCTGCTGAGTACTAGGGTAACCAGGATGAATAAGACATAATTCCTCCCATCATCAAGGTCACAGTTAATATAGAAGACAAATTATACTATGATGGGACCACTGCACAATATCAAAAACATGCTGAGAGAGCCCAAAGGAGACAGAGGCTCTTCGTGAAGGATTAGGGGAAGGAGAAAAGAGAACGGTACATGGCATAATTTTGTAGCTAATGACATTCTGGCTGCCAATCCAGATTCCCCAGCCTTTCTGTCCATTCTGTGACTTACTCAATTACTTTCTAATACATTTCTTGATGGCTTAAAT